AAATTGTACTACTACTTGACTACCTATAGCCTACCTACTATACAATCAGAAGAAGAAAATAAAAATACTAATAGCAGATCCAGTGGTGACATCAACAATGATCATCAAGGGCTTTGGCGAACCGCCAGGAATGCAGTCAACAAGCTCTTCAAACTCTCAACTCTGATTAGCTGATTACAGCAACAACGCTGGTTACACAAAGTTCAAGCCATACTGCACACCAAGGCCTGCCACATTGGGCGGCACGTGTAGTTGGAGCCCAAACTCGGCATGCGTACCTATATAGGCCGGCATAATTCGCTCCTTTCTGCTCCATTACCCCATGGAGCAGGAACCGGGTGTGTTCTTTGCAAGCCCTCGGGCGATGACACCGTCTCCATGTCGCTTTGAGGTTCGTGTCGAGGACCCTTCCGAGTGACACACCTAGATGCGACATGGATTGTCTTCCAGGCCAGATAGTGCGGCGAACTAGGATCTCTACCCAGCAACTGGTCAAGCTTTATTTATATTTATATCTGGTACTTTGGCTAGAGGTACCGCGTGATGTCGCAATCACGGTGCCGGTACAGCGCCGGCCCTCCATGTACACGCAGGTAGGTACCTGTCCAGCGCGGTGGGGGCTGCAGAATGGGCCTCTTGTTCTGGGTAAGCACAGAAAGGTTATCGAATCCAGCGCATGCTTCTCTGGGCCGCCATCCAGATGAGGTGGTATCCAGCGGGTAGTAATCGCGGCTGCAATAGGCAAGGTTGCGAATTATAAATGTCTGTAACGAGGAAACAGTCAGCTTCCAACTCCTTCCCTCGATGAGCCACGATCCCTTAGTGGACCGAAAGCGGTGCCGCGAGTACCTTTTAATACATCTGCGCCAGCCCAGTACCTTCGATGGAGGTAGGCAGGTGCTCCCCACCCATCCCCACTCCCTGCCCACATCCTGCCTTCCCCTCCATCCAGCACCACTAAGAGGTCCTTCTCCTACGTCCCTCGTACGAGCCACGACGCAGTATCAGCTCTTTAAGCCTGCCGGTGTCCCGACGATATTCTCAAGTAGCGCCATAGTCAACCCGGGCCTCGTCTCTGCCGCGTGAGCCCTCTCTTCTCTGCCTGCTGCCTGCTGCCTGGTGGCCGAATCCGCACACTCGCATCGGCTGGGTACATGGTTGGTCCCTCAGAAAGAACCCCAGCATCCATCCTGTACCCCACCACAAGGACATAATCCCACCAGACCTGCTTGACAGGAAAAACCATCAGTGTCCGCCCCCCCAGCCGCTGAACGCCTGGTGCCAGCCTTGCCTTCTCAGCGCGCGATCTATCTGTACCCTCGGCTCATCCCTCCGTGCTTCTTGACCGACTCTTCCTTCCGGCAACCCCCAGCTGAGTTGATGCGCCAGCAAACGAGAAACGCCCAAGAACTACCCACTGCCTGTATAAGACACAAAACACTAGCCCAGCATTCCGACTTGGCCCAAAAGCCCGGCACAACAGCCCAGTGGACCCCTACCTGCTAGTAGTTACCATTGTCTGATTCAGTGGTGCGCTGCTCATCCACTCACTCACTCACCCTTCCGCTGCCTCCCTTGCCTTACCTGGCCCTGCATTGTCCTGCCTTGGCTCGCCTCGTTTTATCATCCAAGCACAAGACTATACGCCCCTCTCGTGCTTCCCGGTATTACCTGTATTCGATCTCATCTCACCGTCGCACCTACCACAGAGTCCTTCGGACACTCCGTATCCGCAGAGAGCGGCTGTCTGGTTACAGCACTCTTACATGCGGGGCTGTTATTCGTTGGCCGTTTTCATTTCAAATACTTTCACTACTCTGGCACTTCAAGACGAGTGAAGGCCCTACTCGTTTTGAACGAGCCTCCGAATCTAGGCCCGGAGTCGTTGCCGTTTGAGGCTTCGATTGCTTTGATTAGAAGATGCCTCGAAGCAGTTTCTCCCTGAACCCTCTGTTGAAGGTCTCCAGGCCTGTATCAGCATGCTCGCGATGTAAGTGAAACTAAATATATATTGGCTAGGGTTGTTCATTTTGGATAAGCTAACCAATGTAATGATGCGACACAGGCCGAGCAGCAAAAGTAAAGGTCTGAAATGACCTCTCCATCCCTCTCTCAAATTTGCTCTCGCTTCATCATTGTATCAAGCACTAACATGGAACTTATGGAATAGTGTGATGGGAAGCTCCCCGCATGCACAGCATGTGAAAAGGCAGGCCGTGAAAACGAGTGTTCTGCCGCAAATGATCAATTTGCCAGAGGCAAGGAACGAAGGTAATGCCAATCTCAAACACAAGAGCCACGGATCTCAATTGACAGTTTATCCTAGCTACGTGGCCGCCCTGGAGCTCCGTATAGAGAAGCTCGAAAGGCGACTTCAGTATGCGAAGACGCGCAAGGCTTCTCTTGCATTTGACGAGCCTGACATGTCGATCCTAGCCCAGCAGGTTGATCGTCGTGACTCTTTAGCTAAGATCAAAGCCGCCATTCACCGCAAGGCTGCCAGAAGTCGAGAGAACTCCGATGTTAACTCGATTGTCTCTGACTTTGGTTTTTTGTACGAAACAATCCATGTCTCTCTGACCATCCAAGGTGCTTGAGTTGTACTAACCTTTCACGTTAGGTCAGTCAGTGCTAACACCCGAGACTTCGAGGCAACTCCTGGCAACATGACCTTTGCTAGATTAGTCTTAACGGCCGCTACCAACGGCTCGTTGCCAGAGCCCAACCCACAGTTCGTCTTACCGCCAAGGCAAGCTGCCCACGCACTTGTCCAGTTCTACCTTGTCAACATATTTTCTCTCCTACCATTCTTCTCAGAAACAGCCCTGTTAAATATCCTGGACGATATTTATCAGCAAGATGGGCGGTTCATCAAAGACTCCGATTATTGGCTCTTTTACCTGGTCTTGGCCATTGCTTCTGCTTCCCAGAGTAAAAGTATCTACGACGAGCACTATTCGAGTGGTCTCGGCTATATATCAAAAGCCTTGGAATTTGCAGAGAATGCACTTGCCCCAGGCTTCGTTACCCAAATACAATCCTTGCTTCTATTAACCCAGTACTCGATGCTTGACCCAGCGCACTTCGACAGCTGGCATTTGATCGGCTTCACCTCTCGAGCAGTTGTCGACTTGGGCCTTCATCAAGACCCACCTGTATCTTCATTGAGCGACAAAGCTGCTCTGGACATGCGCCGCAAGATATTCTACTCAGTGTACAGTCTCGATCGGTAAGCCCCTGCCCTTAGCCTGTTTCTTGACCTAGAGAAAATTGAAGATTCCATGCTAACATGACTAAAAAGTGCAATAAGCATGGTCCACGCTCGAACATTCTCCTTTACTGACGATGCCGCAAATGTCGCATTCCCCGCAACCTCAATGAAGGACTCTTCGCAGGTGGCAATTGCAACGCCGCAATCATTTGACTCTGCATTGTTGCTCTTTCAACTCCGGCGCGCACAATCGTTCTGGTACCAAGAGCTCTACCAATCCCACTCGGGAACCCCACTGCAAGACCCTATCGGATATGTCTGGCAAATGTGCTTGGAAATGCGCGAATGGGGGGAGTCGCTACCCGCAACGCTCTCCCCAGCTATCAGACAGATGTTTGAGCAAGAACTTAGGTACAGTTATGTGTACTGTATCTCTCCTTCAGGGAGAGTCCCTCAGATCAGCGACTACCACCGAACCATCATCTTTGAATACTCGATTGCCTACCTTGATACCATGCACGCCATTGTGCAAAATGGATGGACAAGCGCCTTCTACACTTATCACGATGCGCTCAAAGTGTATTTCATGGCCACCCAGCTTCTTGCCGTTCTCTGGGCTGCTGAAAACATGCTTCTGACTGGAGCGCAAGTGCCGGTGCCGATGCAACGTCCCGGAGGTCCCCCGCCTCCCCCGGTTCCAAGATACGCATTGAATCACGGGATGACTAGGCCAGATAACCTTCGCAGGAGTCTGTACTGTCTAGAACGTGTAGGCCACACACTAGGAAAGTTTGGCGAACGATGGGAGGAGTCTGCAATGCTGAAGCATAGCTTTGAGGGAATCTCAACAAAAACTATCAAACGACTTGCCATGCAAAGGGATGCACAGGAAGCTGTGCTTGATCAACCTTCAAATCACTTCCAGACAAATGGCCAAATCCCAATGGCTGCACAAAATCTACAGCAGCAATCGCAGCAGTCACAGCAGTCACAACAACAACAGGCGAGAGAAATGAGGTGGGTTGGCGTGAATGTGGCGCAGATGAGAGGAAGACAGTGAGGAGCTTTTGGGATTTACTTGCTATATTTTTGTTCTTTAGGATGGGACGGGCAACGGTGCATCTTGGCTATGATTGATAAACGGGATATTTTTTTTGCAAAGGGCGGGGACAATTAGGTTATAAAGGATAGTGTTTACAGACTTCTATACCCATCGGTGAGATTTTATACACTTTGTCATTCTTACTCGATTCGAAACCTTTTTCGCAGTATGCGCAATGTGAAATCTTTTTAGAACTGCCTATCACATCTTACACTTGGTTTTGAATATCTGTACACAGCCGTTCCCATCACCACAGTAAACATCCGGGCGAGAGGAAAAAAAGAGAAACGGCAGCAATGTTATACCCACCGCGATTTCATATTACCGGGACGCCTGATCTCTGCATCTACCTCAAACCATAGTTTCGATAACCCGAGAGAGAAAAAAGTGAAATAAAAAAGGGAGAAAACCCAGCAACGGAAACAGGACGGGGGAAAAAAAATAGAGAGTAAAAAAGACCTAAGTTACAAGAAAGCTCGCCAGCATTCCCATGTCAGTCAACTCCACGAAATGGTCAAGTGTTCAAAAAGGGGGTTGAGCCTGATGGTGGCGTTGTGGCGCTTCCCCCTGGTTTCTCCCCCGTAATGCCTTCCAGCATGCACCGCGTGTCCCCCATTCGAAGTGAATGCTCTTTCTTTTTTATTCCTGTCCTTTGAATTTCTTTTATTTTTAGGCTTGCGTCCTTTTCTAGATGACGCGGATATCCTGCATGTGTAAATTCTTCGTCTGGCGGGGCAGTTTCCGGTCATGTTCGTACATGTAACCACAATTGGCACATAGAGTCTGAAAAAAGGGGGGGTTAGTCTCAAATTCACGAGCAGGGCCAAACAGAAAGGGGGAAGAGGGACTTACTCTAGGCCCAGCAGGGCCATCTCGTACGGCCCAGACACCAGAACCCCAGATGCGACAATGCGAGCAGCGCCACGACAGCCGCTCTGCATCGGCAAGCGAACCACCGCCGCCGTAGCCACCGGCGTCTGGGGTTCCACGGCCACCGGGAGTCCCGGATCGGCCCAGCGGACTCAGACTCCTGAACCGGCGCTTCTTCTTTGATCGCTCGCCGCGTCCCATCCGCTCCTCCTCGACGTCCACCGTGCCCACGGGCGTACCGCCCAACAGGCCGGTCGTGGAACTGAAGCGGGCGGTTTCTCGTCGCAGACGGCGGACTTGCCTCTCGCGGTCACCCTCGCGTTTCTCCATCTCTTCCTTGCTAAGGATTTCGACCTTGGGTTCCCAGTCGTCGGCAAGGTGGTCCGGGTCGTATCTCCAGCCGGCCTCCGTGCCGTGGGCGGCGTCGTTGGGGAGTTCCTGCTGCAGCCCGCCCCATCCCGCGACGATTCCGCCCGCCTCGCACGCTTCCTTCTTCAGGCGCAGTACCGCTTCGTAGATGGCGTGTGTCATTGCCGGAATCCACTCGCCCGTCAAACCCAGGTCGGCGCATGTCATTTTGGCGAACGCTTCCGCCGTTCCGGGCGGATGCAGCAGAGACCATTCGAATTTGTCAGTGTACAGCGTAGATGAGAGATTCAGATTCAGGTTAATGATGCAGCGGTACGTGTCGTCGGGGTTGTAATCATCAGATCCTGGTAGGATTGGCGTCGCCTCCGCCGTCACCTTGGGGGTGTCAACAGTGGGGGCTTGGGAAGGTGTTGCGACCCCTCCGGTCTGCGCAGGAGTATCCGGTCTCGATGTCGCCCTTGGTAAGGAAGCGGGAGAATCGGCGGATTGCGCCTTAACAACTCCGTTGGAAGTCCCATTCCCGCTCGTTAACGTCTGTGTCGGTTGCTGTGTCTGTTGTGTCTCTGCGTGGAAGAGGGGATGAAGAGCAACTCCCGAGTACTCCTCTAGTTGCGTACGGATCTGCTTGCTGATTTCTGCAATGGCGTGTTGACGATTAGGGAGGTCAAGATCCTGCACCAGGGTCTGAGCGAACTGGTCGGTTGTGATGAGGGTCTCATGCAGGTTCCAGCAAAAGATGTCCCGAAGCTTATATGGTACTGTTGGCTCTTGCGGCCGGTATTGTGGTAGAGTAATGTCGGTAGAATTTGGGTTTGGCGGGGGGTATGGCGCCTGGGGGATAAAGGAGGGAATGTCGAGGTCGATTCGGATGGGAATCAGCGTCAGGGGCAGGCTGGCCTGGGCGGCATTCTGCTGGTCCGTCCTGACATATCGAGTCTTTCCTATCCAGTCGCGCCATATTCCCTGGACGTCAACCGGACGTCTGGTCTCCTTGCCAGCCTTGTCCACAAGGTCTTGCCTGGAAGCTGAGTCCTCCTTGCGCAAACTGCGCAGTCCTGTAGGCCGTCGGCGATCATCGCTATCGTACTCGAGGTCATCATATCCATCCTCGGCGTAGTTAATGATGGTCGTGCCTCGCTTGGTGGTCCTGGAGAGAGGTGCTACTGGCGCACTAGGGAGGACGGGAGTGAGGAGCGAGTTGTTGTAGGCACGCAGGCGCGGCGCGTAGCTCGACAGGAAAGCCTGGGGCTTTGATCGCTCCATTTTGCGCAATGAGTGAGAGGCTGTTGAGTCAGACCTATCTCAAACTCATTGGCGCGAGGAAACTGGTTGGAAACTCGGTGTAGCGAATGAAGCGCTGCTTCTCGTCCAGAGGTGGTGGGTGGAGAAGGATTTGGCGATCTCGCAGCGCAAGGAGAGGGCGTCTGAAGATTGTCGGCAAACAACGCGAGGAGGGCAAAATTGTTGAGATTCCGGGTGCGTGGACGATTAATGGATATGAGCGTCGGTCAGATGTCCGGTATTTGGGTTGTCGGGCGATGAGGTGTGAATCGCGATCCAATCCTGCGGTTCACTTGTCCGTCAAGTCGCGTCGCCGTGGCCATGGCGCAGGGCAGAGAGAGGTTCAGTCGGTTTTTTGCACCGAGCCTGGACCCACTTGTCCACCAGCTACCCTGCAGCTCATCTTATGTAATCAAGGAATGGGCTTGGGGCATTTGACTTTGACGTGCAGGGGGCAGGTCCACTCCAGTACGACTTCCTTAGTACATGGGTACAACAGCGATATCTCACAAACAGGAACTTTGATGTTTGACGTTCTACTAATACCTAACAACCCATTGCAAGCAACTCGAATTGCATGCAGTCGTCTTGCAAAACAGATAAGAAATGCTTTCTCGACCAAAAACTACCAATCTGAATAGACCATTAACCTTCTGATTCAACCTTCAAGCGCCCAAATCCCCGATCTGTTTCTTGAGTTTGGGGTACATTCTATGGATCCTTGAGCCTGCTAAAAAGGCTTCTGTCCAAGACTGCGGATCCAAAGTTAGCCAAAGTAAACAGCCTGAGGTTGAGGGTAAAGAACAAGATATTAGCAGACATACATGTTCCCCTCTGGGTAGAATCTGCAGACGTCGAACACCTTGTAGGGCTGCGCGATACCAAATGTCCGAGCACATCCGATGTGGGTTGTAGACGCCCACATGATTTGAGCTGGCGAGTATTCATCAGCGGGTGCAGACAAAATCGCCATCTGGGTTTACTCACACCAATGCAGCCATTGCTCCCGTCCGTCGGAGATGGGCTGGCCATTCCAAAGAGACCCTTCAGCAAGCTAGGCTGATGCGGCTGTTTGGAACGGGTTGTCGTAGGCAGCATCACACCTTGCCGATTGACGTTCATAGAGAGTTTCGCCCTGCTTCTGACGGTACTGGGGAGGTGCATGCGCGAAGGGCGCAGCACCAGTAGCCATCTGGGTGGCCCACCAACCGGCACTGTTGGTCAAGTCATTGCTCCAAAGCAGAGGCTTCAGCCCTCGGGATTGGCGGGCTTGGTTTATCATGCCAATGGCCTGGTCAAGGTCATTGTTCTGGGCTATGGCGAGTCCCCAGAGAGTAAGAAAGGACAAAAGCAGCTTGATCCAGTGTGGGGCCATGGCTGGATATTCGAGAATAGGAAGACGATGAATAGTGGGATAGGATTGCTGAGGATATGATCTGCTAGCTTTCGATTTTGCGATTGTATATGGATTGCGAGCTGTAGTTGTTGTGGGAAGAATTGTAAACAAAGCCTGAGATTCCCATTCTTCTTCTTTAAACACAGCTCTGGTTCCTCCCAAATCTAGCAGGAACGACACCGCCGCTGAGTGAGGTGTCTCCGAGCGAGTTATGGGGCTTCTGATCGTGGGTGTCTCCTTCCATTCTGGTAGCAACTTCTACTGTGCCAATGACCCTTTCCATTGTAACTCTGCCTACCTAGTATTTGCAGCTCGATTCGTAGTTGCACCTGCTGTCTCTAAACACACTCGGCATCGTGGAGGTGCAGTGACACCCACCAAGAATAATTGCTAAATAGAACATCCAATGACAGCGGATGCACTTTCTGATTCTGTTTGTTTCCCCAGAAGTAGTTGCATTGTTGGAGCGGTACTTGAAACCCCAAGCCAATCAAAGGCGGATCTTTTCCAATCGTCCTTTTCCCTCAGTATTCAATCTATCCACCCTTAAGGGCTTGAAGATTTCTTGTAAAGTCAATCACATGTAGCATAGCAAATCAAAGGATAACCGATGTCCCTTTTCTATTTTGTTTTCAGCCAATGATAGTTACACAGGTAACGGCAGAGCTCGTAGGTACATATCGATGTACCATCTCAACTGGGGGGGCAAACAGGGATTAGAGTGGCAGCTCTTTATCGGCCAGAGACCAATGACGTCCCTCCACCGTTTGTCCCCAGATTTTAATCCAACATCCTTTCGAGGCTGCAACGACAGCAAAATCTATTTTCCCTTCATCTACACTACCAACATTCAGTTCTTCGCCACGCCAATCTACGACAAATCTCTTGGTGAACAATAAAAATGTCGTCGAGACCATCAAGGGCCCTCGCGCCCCTCCTACGAACTCTCCGCCAACCAGTCCCATACCAAGTCTCCCCTCTACACAACGCTTCAGCCCACCGACTCCGGAGCGCAAATGTCCCCCTCCCACGCCTGACCATCATCCGCGCAGCGCACTCCATCCCTAAACCCCCCCCAGTCCGACCACGCGAACCAACCCGCGATCCAGACGCCGAGGCACCCAGGTCCGAGGGCCCGCGCCCTGACATCAAGAACGCCTACTACCAGCTCTCCTTCACCTGCGTGCCCTGCGGCCACCGCTCCCACCACAACGTCTCCAAGCAGGGGTACCACACGGGGTCAACCCTCATCACCTGCCCAGAGTGCCGGAACCGCCACGTCATCAGCGACCACCTGGGCATCTTCGGCGACAGGAAGATCACCATCGAGGACCTGATGCGCGAGAAGGGCCAGCTGGTCAAGCGCGGGAGCCTGGGCGAGGATGGCGACATCGAGTTCTGGCCGGAGGATGCGTCGCAGGATGGACAGGATGGTGGCCCTTCCGGCCAGTCTGGATCCAGGCTCTCATGAAACGATGAGCTAAACCGCGGCGGAGTTTAAGGAGGTTGACACTTTATCTTCTTACACCGTCATCGGACGCTATGAATAACTGCATTACAATCCAGTGCAACAATGTATCATTAAAAAAGGCGGCGGGAAGGATCATTTAGAGACGCATAAAGACGGCGCTGGGCTTGAGAATTTTGTATATCCCCTTCATATAGAGAGAGCATTAGGGTCGTGTAAAATAAAATGGATTGCTTTTCTATAAGGCCCAAAGCTTCAAGGGCGGAAATATACTCTTTTATGGGAATGGAAATATTCTATGTTTGGCCCATCTCAAATTTTATGCGTGTAAACAAATAATAATAAAAAACTCCGAATCATGCCAGGTGCTGGTACTTTTGAGCCCACCGAAACGCCCTCAAATGCCTTCAGTCCAAAGTCTTCTGGAAATGCTTTCTATCCGTCGCTCACCACCCCTTGTAGGATTGTCTCATCGCCTTCTGCTCCGTCGACCTGGCCTTCTTCCTCTCTCTGTTCTTCTCGAACTTCTTGCGCTTGTCCTTGCCGTACTTCTCGGGCTGCGCGATGGCCTCAATCTTCCTCTTGCTGGATCGCTGCTGTCTCCTCGCCTTGACTGCCTCGTGGATCTCCATCAGCTGCTGGCTATACTCAGCGGTGCCAAACTTCTTCTGCAGGGCATCCATGAGGATCTGGGATCTGCTCTTGAGATGCTCCAGCTTCGTCTTGAACACCTCATCCATGGATACAGGCATAGGAATGGAGGGGTCAGTGAGATGATGTAAAGGAACGAGGATAGTCTTGAACGAGGTTTCAAGACGCTCCTTGGCTGAGCGACGGCAAATGGTCTCCAACACTTCCATCGCGACCGTCTTGGGAACAACAGCAGCAGCTCTGGGAGGGATCTCCTTTCGCAGGATACCTGACAGTCGCCAGAACAGATATTGGATGTCCCTCTTCCTGGGCTGCTTCTCAGCGGACTCGTCCTCACTCTCGTTTTCTGGCTCCTCGTTGTCCTTGAGAGGATCAACGGAAGATGCGGGCGTGGGCAGGCGGGGGCCTAAGAAAATCAAGACTTGACCAGCTTCAGTTGCGAGAGACTCGTCGACGCCAGGGCTGTTGAGCACGTTGAGCGCAAGCCGAGCAGTATCCTGAACTCGCTCAAACCCGAGGACGGCACCGTACGAGCCGGGGGTTGGTTCTCCAGGCGACGCGGCAGCTCCAGCTTGGGCAAAATCGGCGAGGTATCGAGAGATCAATCTGATAGCCGACACTTTGACTGATGTCTGGGAGTGGGCCATGCAGCCTGAGATGCAAGTCCACAACTCGTCTTGATCAGGGCTGAGGATCTTCTCGGGGAAGACATCGAGTAGAACACCAGCCAAACCCAGTGTAGACTCCAGAAGATCGCCATCCACATCAACAAGGCTTTCTGCGCCCAAAACTTCGGATACCTTGTTCAACACCAACTTGAAATCTTTCCGGTTCTTGGAGGAATTCTCGTTGGATTCGAAATAGTGTGCCCAGATCTGAAGCGCCAGTCGCAGAACCGCCTCTTCCTTGTCCAGCCACGTTCGCAGCAATGTGAGAAAATTCTGCGTTCGCTCCTTGTCGGCCCTTCTGAACACCTCCTTAAGGAGCTCGCCAGCTGCAAGACGACACTTTTCGCTGTCGTCGTTCGCCAGAACAAAGAACAGAGGCAAGAAGCAAGTGGCAGCCACTTCTTGAACAAAATCATCAGATGATTTGAGAAGAAGCAGATGGATAACCTCCATGACGGACAGACGACCACCTTCGCGGTTGTACTTGAGATTTGCAACAACAAAGGTGAGCTGTTTCGCCCAGCGGGCCTTCTTCTGAGGATACTCGCGAATAAATTGGAAAAAGGCACCGCGAGCAAGATCTCTCGTGTCCTTGTCGTCGTTAGTGATCATCACAGTTCCGATATAGTCCAACGTGTCATAAACGACAGCAGTTTCTATGCGCCGGTCCAGCACAGACCGAACAAAGTTAAAAGTGACATGTCGATACAGTGGCTCGGTCAGGTCGTCCTTGAGTTTGCTTAACAGCAAGTCCACGGCAGCGTCTTTGATAGCAATATCCTTCCTATCCCTGAGAATAACAGCAAGCATCTTCAGGGCCGCTTGTGAGAGATCTGAGGTGGTGGAAGACGAGGTTGAAACACTCTTGATAGCTTCTTTGACTGCAACCTTGTAGATATTCGCCCCATCCTGCTCAGCAAATGGTACCTTGACAATGACGGCCAAGAGTCTGAAGGTGGAAATTTTGACTTCATCCTCTCCATCAAGCACACAGTCACCAAGAATAGGCAAAAATCCAACGAGATTCTCGGCTGTCCTCAGTTCATCGTGCTTTTTGAACATTGCTCGAAGAATGTCCACCGCGAAGCGCATAATCTTGTATGTGTTCTTCGTTGTGCTACCTCGTTCGCCACTCTTCTTGGCGCCCTTCTGGACTAGGTACTTTCGAATTCTTGGATCCAACTTTTGCTCTGCCTCTGGCTGGTGGCTCTTGTAGACGTTCTGAATCATTTCGTAACAGAATACTAGTGTGTTACGGCTGTTGGAAGCAGGGTTTTGCAAGAGTCCCGCAGAGATGCGTGCCATAAGAACATCGATTTTTCGGATGATTTTGAGGTCAACCTTTTGCATCAGTAACGATTGCAGGGGTCTGACAAGCTCGATGAGATGTGTGATGGACGCAGTCTTCGCTACAAGCTCCATGGAATCTTGACTCTTGCTGCTCTTGATTTCCTTCGTTTGGGTTGTGTAGCCTTCAGCGTCCTTTTCTTGACCAATGACACCGAAAATATCGTCCATGATAATCATGACTATGGTTGGTAGGCAGTAATCCAGATCACCAGGCGCGAAGCCTGGAATGACAGCAACCAGGATGGAGTGCATTGTGTACGATAAAACGTGTAGCTGATAGCCTTTGGTCAGAGCTCCTCGCAATTCTTTGAGAATGAATCCGAAGAAGGTCGGTCCTAGAATGACGGCTATCTGCACAAGTGTGTCTCGGGCCATATCTCGGGCTTCTACTGACTTACTGCGGAGAATGTGACAGATATCAGTCAACACTCCGGCCAGCTTCTGGCTCATCTGCTGTGATGGTAGGAGCGTCAACAGCTTGACGATGGTTACACCGACAGGCACTCGGAAGCTGACTTCCGATTCATCCTTCTCGTGAAGATGCTTAACCAGGGTCGGAAGAAAGGTATCTACAATCTCAGTGCTCAACTGGGCCTCCTTTGGCATCGAGAGTGCTAATCGTCTGACGGTAGGAGATGAACTGTCATCCCCTTGATCAACCTCCATAGTATCCGATGTTGAATTCTTCTTCGACAGGATGAGCGCATCGATGACCTTCCCGAGAAGGCGGATTGTCGGCTTCTGGAAATCAGGCTTTGAAGCAATATATCCAATGTAGCGCTGCAATGTAGTTCGGTAATGCTTCCAGTGAAGAGATGAAGCCAAGCTGCCAATCACATTGGTAGCCTGGGCGCCCAGGCCATGGTCGTCGCTCCCGTTTTCACGTCCATAGATGAAGTGCTCTAGCAATGGGATGAAGAATTGCGCAAGGTTCTGGCTGCTCATCTCACTAGACTGGTTTGCTGCCTCTAACATGCCCAGGGCTTCGAGTTGTCTCGAGGTGGCAGGGCTAAGGATGTTAAAGAAGAACATTGGTTCCGCCGAATCTTCCGCTGTTTCATCCAACAGCCCAACTAAATCCTTGACTGGGCCCCAGCCAGGCATGGTGGACAAAATGAAGCCGAGAACACGAAGATACTCGCGGCGGACGGTCTCGGATGATTCTCTGGCCCCGGCGTAAATAGCTGGCATCAGAATCTCGTTCATGTATTCCTGCATCTTAGATCGGGCAGACTCGGATGTTGTGCTCTGTGCCTCATGAACCATACGACGCAAAACATCTGCAGAATTCGTTGATAGGAGACCAAATTCTTCGTCCATCTGGATGAAAAAGATGGCATTGTGCAGTAGTGGTAGCCATTGTTGGGGTGTGAAAGAAGTCTCCCTATCCTTCGCAATGGCGTTGAACCCAGACAGCCTTCGGTCATAATCTGGCTCATCGATCCGTCCTTCTTTGAAAGCGTTGAGATCAGTGCATATCTTGGCAACGGCGAGTTTGCCATCGTCTCCATCTGACATTAGCGTGATGACACGGCAGAGCGCTTCCCGGTTCTCTCTATCCTTGAAGTAGCCGAATAGCGAGGACAAGGTGCCGTACATTTCATCGCAAAGATCATGATGCTGGCCCGGTTCGATAAGGGCGATGAAGTTCTCCACAACCAGAAGTACCCTTCCCTTGGTCCTAGGGCTTACTCTTCGGGGGGGTTGTCTGAGGAGGAAGGATGCAATCCGGAGAACTGGGGGAACAGCATTGGATTCTTGAAGAACCTGGGCCAATGACAACATTGTCTCCACGCAAGCATCAAGAAGCTCGGTACTTGTTGTAGGGGCCTCTAAGATTTGAGTGATGATGGGCAAGATTTGGTTGGAATTTGCGTCAATCAACTCAGACTTGATCAACTCATTGAACTCAGACTCCTGAGCGGGGAGCAGGGAGAGCCGGACCAGATTGCGAATCATGCCGAGAATGAATGTCCTGACCTCGTCTTTAGCCTTCTCGACTCCAAGGCAAGCGATAACTTGAGGAAGGACACCATTTGGAACAGAATCGCCATGCGGACCAAGGAAGAGTGCCACCTTTGGCAGTACAGTCCAAGTCGACAGTAGCTGCAAAACGCCTGAGACGCCTTGTGTCGTCTCAGCTGGCATATTCTCAAGTCGAGGAGCAATGATCTCCTCAATGATGATATCGTGATAGACAGACCACTGGAAATCCTGAGCATTTTGGAAGAGGAGATTCAAGCATTTTAAACCTGTAGACCTTGTGATTCTCAAGAGAGACTGAGTGCTGGCCACATCTTCCTTTGCTTCCGCCTCATCATCGACATCCAAAGA